GGACAATCAAGTATGAGTGCCTGGGGTGGTTTTTCAGGCATGGGAGCCTTTGCACCATCACTTGGCTCTGCTCTAACAGCTGCAGCTGCTGCACCACCTGCTAGTCAACCAGGACCTTCTGATACAAAGTTTGCTGGCGCTGAGTAAGTTTAAACTAATCGAAAAGTGAAAGGAAAACTAACATTTTCTTCTTTAGTGTAACCAGTGGTACTGTACAACAATATGGTTCATCTGCAGCTGTTCCAGCTGCTGGTGATAGCCGTAGTTTAAGTACAAATGTATGTTACAGTATTATTGATTCAACTTTTCCATCATTTTCTGACTATTGTTCGGCATTACCACAAACAACATTTACATTACCAAACTTTTTTGGTCATAATACAAAACGTGAAGCAAATGATTTATTATTGTCACTTGCTCCAGCATTGGATGCTCACTGTGTTCATATTATACGCATGTTTACATGTCCTTTATTTTTTCCACCATGTAATGATGCAGCCACACTTCCATGTGCTAGCCTCTGTCGAAGTAAGAAGATTAATTTTTTTGAAAAATTATTTTAAAAAATGAATATTTTCTTTCATAGAAATCCAAAATCAATGTAATGGTTTTGATCTTTCAGCAATTAATTGTGATCAACTTCCAGAACAATCAGACTTCTGTCCATGTAAGTTTTACTGAATTGTTGATGTGTATACATGTACGTGTTTATTATTTAGCTTTTACTGGATCAACTCGTTCAATAGGTGGTGGTGCTTATGGTTCAAGTGGATCATATAATAGTTATGGTGGATCTTCATACGGTCAAGCTGCTAAATCAGTCGGACCAGCACCTTATAGTGGTGGTGATAGTTATGGTGCATCTTCATACGGTCATGCTGCTAAATCTGTCGGACCAGCACCTTATGGTGGATCTTCATTTGGTGAAGCTGTTAGATCTGTTGGATCAGGATCTTACGGTGGATCTTCATATGGTGGAGCTGTTAAATCAGTTGGATCAGCACCTTATGGTGGTGGTGATAGTTATGGTGCATCTTCATATGGT